TTACAGCTGTGTTTGAGGTTAGATAGGTACTATCTGAGGACAGGAGGTCATGAATTTTGCCTCTAATAGTTAGAATTTTGTCATTAAAAAAGCTCATAAAATCATTACTGCTAAGGGCTAAAGGAATACAAGGCTCAATAGAGCTTTGACTCTCAGTCAGCCTGGCTACAGTGCTGAAAAGAAACCTGAGGTTGTTCTTATTGTCTTCTATTAATGCTGAATAATAGTTTGCTCTGGCATTGTGGAGGCCCCTCTTATAAGTTTTGAGACTGTCTGTCCAGATTAAACAAGATTCTTCTAGTTTGGTTAATCGCCAATTCCTTTCAAGTTTTTGCGATATTTGTTTTAACTTACGGGTTTGAGAGTTATACCAAGGAGCGAATTTTCTTTGCTTTTTTAACTTCTTTCTAAGAGGAGCTACAGAGTCAAGTGTTGTTCGCAGCGAGCCTATGGCGCTATCGACAAAATGATCAAAGTCGGTACAGGAAACCTCTGTTACTGAGGGACTGTGTGTCCTTCAAAATAAAAGTTTCACAGAAGCATGACTTACTTGTTCATGTTGGATCAACAGTTTTACTTCCTGTTTTCTCAGAGAGGAGACACACCCCTCCACATCGCCATCCGTGGGCGGAGTCGCCGCCTGGCCGAGCTCCTCCTCAGGAACCCCAAAGATGGCCGCCTGCTTTACCGACCCAACAAAGGCGGAGAGACGCCATACAACATCGACTGCAGCCACCAGAAGAGCATCCTCACACAGATCTTTGGAGCGCGTACGTCTACACACAAACATGTTTCCTCGGGTCATCGATATGTTATGGTCACAGGAAGTCTCACAGGAAGTCTCACTCAGATACAGACAGTACAGGTTTATATTTGTGTTCTGGCTTTAACATCAGCCATAACTGCATGGCAGGAAGATAAATAAATCAATACAGGACCGAATACATAAATATGTAAATAATCCAATGATGAAATAAATACAAGAATAAAGGAATAAATAAATATATAATAAAAGTTGGTAGTTAAACAGGTCATAGATGTATAAATATCTTAATTATCTCTCTACATTTTTATTCTGTATGTTAGTGAGGTAGGTCCTAATGTCTGCATTTATTCATTTATTTCAGCTTTTACTCTTCTATTTATTTATACATTTATGATTCATTTATATAATTATTAATTTATCTATTTATTTATTTATTTACATATTGATTTATACATTTGTTTATCTTCTCCATAGAAATATTCAGATCCTTTGCTTAAATACTCAAACTACATTTTATGTGCAAAACATGATGAACCTGTATAACATGACGTGTTGTTTTCATGTTTTATATGTTAAATCCTAAAGTCTGTAACAAACTGAAGCTGTTTGATCGTCTGTGTTTAATATTTTAATTTAATGTTTAATCTCAGTTTTAAAGGACTGAAAGAAAAAAAAAATCAGAGAGAAGAAGAGTTTAGATATTTCCCATCTGGTGTGAGTGTGATCTCACACACACATGCACACCTGAGACATTGTCTCCACCCGCAGGTCACCTGTCCCCCACAGAGACGGACGGAGACATGTTGGGTTATGACCTGTACAGCTCTGCGCTGGCTGACATCCTGAGCGAACCCACCATGCAGCCTCCCATCTGTGTTGGTCTGTACGCCCAGTGGGGCAGCGGCAAGTCCTTCCTGCTCAAGAAGCTGGAGGGTGAGTCTGCAAACACACACGCACACACACAGACAGGACATATACATATGCACACACAGACACATCATGTGTTAACATCCCTTCTTCTCCTCAGATGAGATGAAGACGTTTGCCGGGCAGCAGATTGAGCCGTTGTTTCAGTTCTCCTGGCTCGTCGTTTTTCTGTCTCTGCTGCTCTGCGGCTCCGTTGCCGTCATCCTCGGCTTCACTGTCGACCCCAAACTGGCCATGGCGGTCTCCCTCAGCCTGCTCGCTCTGCTCTACCTCTTCTTCGGTACGTCCTCACTGTCCACGCTCAGCCTGAGAGAGGACAGCAGGCTTTTCTCTGTCCCTGTGCTGTATGAATAAAGTTTAGTCGTGTATAAATAAAGCTTAGTCGTGTATAAAGTTTAGTTGTATATAAATAAAGTTTAGTCGTGTATTAAGTTAAGACGTGTATAAATAAAGTTTAGTCGTGTATAAATAAAGGTAAGTCGTGCATAAATAAAGTTTAGTCATGTATAAAGTTAAGTCGTGTATAAATTAAGGTAAGTTGTGTATAAATAAAGTTAAGTCGTGTATAAATAAAGTTCAGTCGTGTATAAATAAAGGTAAGTCATGTATAACTGAAGTTCAGTCTTGTATAAATAAAGTTAATTCGTGTATAAATAAAGGTAAGTCATGTATAAGTAAAGTTTAGTTGTGTATAAATAAAGTTAAGTCGTGTATAAATAAAGGTAAGTCGTGTATAAATAAAGTTCAGTCGTGTATAAATAAAGGTAAGTCATGTATAAGTAAAGTTAAGTCGTGTATAAATAAAGTTAAGTCGTGTATAAATAAAGGTAAGTCGTGTATAAATAAAGTTAAGTCATGTATAAAGTTTAGTCATGTATAAAGTTAAGTCGTGTATAAATTAAGGTAAGTCGTGTATAAATAAAGTTAAGTCGTGTATAAATAAAGTTCAGTCGTGTATAAATAAAGGTAAGTCATGTATAAGTAAAGTTCAGTCATGTATAAATAAAGTTAATTCGTGTATAAATAAAGGTAAGTCATGTATAAGTAAAGTTTAGTTGTGTATAAATAAAGTTAAGTCGTGTATAAATAAAGGTAAGTCGTGTATAAATAAAGTTCAGTCGTGTATAAATAAAGGTAAGTCATGTATAAGTAAAGTTAAGTCGTGTATAAATAAAGTTAAGTCGTGTATAAATAAAGGTAAGTCGTGTATAAATAAAGTTAAGTCATGTATAAAGTTTAGTCATGTATAAAGTTAAGTCGTGTATAAATTAAGGTAAGTCGTGTATAAATAAAGTTAAGTCGTGTATAAATAAAGTTCAGTCGTGTATAAATAAAGGTAAGTCATGTATAAGTAAAGTTCAGTCATGTATAAATAAAGTTAATTCGTGTATAAATAAAGGTAAGTCATGTATAAGTAAAGTTTAGTTGTATAAATAAAGTTGAGTCGTGTATAAATATAGTTTAGTCATGTATAAAGTTAAGTCGTGTATAAATAAAGTTCAGTCGTTTATAAAGTTTAGTCGCGTATAAATAAAGTTTAGTTGTTTATGAATAAAGTTTAGTCGTTTATAAATAAAGTTCAGTTGTTTATAAATAAAGTTAAGTCGTGTATAAATAAAGTTGAGTCGTGTATAAAAAAGTTTAGTCGTGTATAAATAAACTTAAGTTGTGCATAAATAAAATTAAGTCGTGTATAAATAAAATTTAGTTGTGCATAAATGAAATTAAGTCGTGTATAAATAAAGTTAAGTCATGTATAAATAAAGTTTAGTCGTGTATAAATAAAGTTTAGTTGTGTATAAATAAAGTACAGTTGTGTATAAATAAAGTTCAGTTGTGTATAAATAAAAATTAGTTGTGTATAAATAAAGTTTAGTTGTGTATAAATGAAGTTTAGTCGTGTATAAATAAAGTTAAGTCGTGTATAAATAAAGTTCAGTCGTGTATAAATAAAGGTAAGTCGTGTATAAGTAAAGTTTAGTCGTGTATAAATAAAGTTAATTCGTGTATAAATAAAGATCAGTCGTGTATAAATAAAGGTAAGTCATGTATAAGTAAAGTTTAGTCGTGTATAAATAATGTTAAGTCGTGTATAAATATAGTTTAGTCATGTATAAAGTTAAGTCGTGTATAAATAAAGTTCAGTCGTGTATAAAGTTTAGTTGTTTATGAATAAAGTTTAGTTGTTTATAAATAAAGTTCAGTTGTGTATAAATAAGGTTTAGTCATGTATAAATAAAGTTTAGTCGTGTATAAATAAGGCAAGGCAAGGCAATTTTATTTATATAGCACCATTCATACACAAGGCAATTCAATGTGCTTTACAAGAGAAATACATTAGAAACAACAGATCATTAAAAACAAGAGGTAAAAGCAAGAAAATAAATAGTTAAAAACAGTGCAGAAAATGCATTTAAAAAGCAAACATAAAGCAAAAGCAACAGCAGACAAATACAAAAACAATAGCTACAGATTATCCTAACAATAAGTTACATATCTAGTTCACTGGTAAGCTGCAGTAAATAGTAATGTTTTAAGCCCTGATTTAAATGAGCTGACAGTTTCAGCCGACCTCAGATATTCTGGAAGTTTGTTCCACAGGCGGGGAGCATAGAAACTAAAGGCTGCTTCACCTTGTTTGGTTTTGATCCTGGGAACACTGAGTAAACCTGTTCCAGATGATCTGAGGGGTCTGGATGCTTCATAACGTACAAGTATATCAGAGATGTATTTAGGCCCGAGACCATTTAGTGCTTTATAGACAAGTAACAAGATTTTAAAGTCTATCCTTTGACACACAGGAAGCCAGTGCAGTGA